CCAATATCCCTTTTTGGTTAATAAGATTCCCTAAGAACTAGACCTCTCGTAACCAAAAATCACACTTGGAGAATTTGGCGTAAATCCTCTCCAATCTCAAAACTCTGAGGATCTCTCTCAGATGTTCCTCATGTTGTTCTTTGGATCTCGAATACACCAATATGTCGTCAATAAACATGATCACCGAGCGATCCAACATCGGCCTACATACTCTGTTCATGAGGTCCATGAACACCGTCGGCGCATTGGTGAGCCCGAAAGGCATCACCACGAACTCGTAATGCCTGCAACAAGTCCTAAACTCTGTCTTTTGGATATCCTCATCTCGCACCCTCACCTAATGATATCCCGACCTCAAACCGATCTTGGAGAACCAAGATGCTCCCTGTAACTGATCGAACAAATCATCGATCCTTGGTAACGGGTAACGGTTCTTGACCGTCAGCTTGTTCAATTCCCTTTAATCAATGCACATTCAGTGTGAGCCATCCTTCTTCTTAACAAAAAGGATAGGCGCTCCCCATGGCGAACTGCTCGGCCGAATAAACCCCTTCCACAGCAGCTCCTAAAGCTGCAAGGATAACTCTTGCATCTCTGGAGGCGCAAGGTGATAAGGTGCCTTGGCGATAGGCGAAGCACCTGGAACTAAATTGATGCTGAACTCAACCTGCCTCTCGGGAGGCACACCTGGTAACTCTTCCGGAAATACGTCACCGGAAACTCACTTACTATCAGAATCTCATCAACACACCTCGGTCTCTCTGAATAAACCCTCGTATCCATCACATATGCTACAAATCCCTTACAGTCCTGATGTAGACTCTGCCTCGCTCTAGTGGCTGAACAAAATGCTGAACCAAAATGCATACCCTCTCTGTATACGGTAAGAACTCCCCCATTAGGGTCTCGTATGGTCACCAGCTGTCTCTCGCAGTCGATAACCGCTCCAAACTTGCTCAATCAGTCCATGCCCACGATGACACAAACATCTCCCATCGTAAAAGGAACTAGATCAATCGGGAACTTGACGTCAAAAATCTCGAGTACACATCCTCGGATCACCTCGGTGGCATACACCACTTTCTCGTCAGCTATGGAAACTCTCAGAGGTCGACTCATCACCTCTCGACTAATACTGATGTGCTGAATAAAAGCCAAAGATACAAAAGACCAACTCGCACCCGAGTCAAATAACACCAAGGCAGGTACAAAATTCACAAGAAAAGTACCTACGCATATCATAATATAAGCACAATATCTCAACATAAAAGTAAATATATGAAAGAATACATACTAGCCACGACATCGGGCGCTGCACGGACCTCCTTTGCAGTCAACTGGAAGGCTCTTCCTCGCGCCTTCGGTACCTCGGCCTTCACTGGCCGGCTCTCAGTAGCTCTAATAGCAGCAGTGGCAGATCCCTGAGGTGCTCCCTAGGTAGTCCCTCGAAACAGTGGACACTCTGCCTTGCGGTGTCCAATCTGGTTGTAGTGAAAGCATACTGCAAACCCCTTGGGGCAATCCTTGGCCATATGCCCCTCCTTTCCACATTTGTAGCAAGACCCCGCAATACACACCCCCTCGTGGCTCTTTCCGCACTTGCCACAAGTGCAGCCCTTCTGACTCCCAGATCGCGAATTAGTGGGCTTGGCCCGCTTGGCTTCCGGCTGAGACTGTGTCGGTCGCCGATCCCTCGCCTGAGACTCAGCCTCCTCCGTAGCCTGGGTCTCCAGCTCTATCTCCCTCTTCCTGGCATTTTCCTGAAACTCAGAAAATGTCCAATACATCGAGTTCACCATGAATTCCCATATATCCCTCCTCAAAATGCTCAGGTAGTGGCTCATACGTGCATGCTCGGAGGATAAGTGCTCTGGGCAAAACATCGCCCGCTCATGGTACTTCCTCGTAATCACCGTGATAGAATCAGGACCCTGCTTGATGGTCAAAAACTCCTGGGCCAAACGCTCCCTTTCCAACTGGGGAACGTACTCATCTCGAAACATAAGAGTGAACCTCTCCCAAGTCACTGCAGCAAGCTCAGTAGGCGAATAATGCATCATCACAAACTTCCACCAATCCTTCGCTCCCATGCGAAGCTGGTTCAGCGCGAACCGGACCCTCAAATGCTCTGGAGACGAAAAAGTAAGGAAACATCCCTCTATGTCTGATATCCACCTCATCGTTGCAATCGGGTCCTGGGTCCCATCAAACTCTGAGGGTTTTGTGTTGCTGAACTCCCAGAACAGCAACGCATCATCACCCTGCGGTCTAGCCGTAGCTACAGATGCAGTGGCCACAACAACAGCAACCTCAGAAAGAGCAACGTATCTCTCATCGAATGTCTCTATCAGGGTGGTCTTAATAGACCCGAACATCTCTGGAATCTCGTCGCAGATGGAAACAGCCACCTCATCATGAATCATCTGGCGGAGCTCTTCCTCGCTCACACCCCCTCCACTGGTCCCTGGTCTGTGACGTGTCTCTACCATGATGCCTCTCTGAAATACAACACAAGATATCAGTAATTTGCTTGGATGTACACACACTCGATATCCCAACCCTACTTGATCTCTGGTACCCTAAGGATTCTTACTTGGGTTGCGCACTGACTCGGTGCCTTCGATAGTACGGGCCCAATACTACCGACCACACCGACTCAGCATTCACACCAAGTCCTCCTCCTAGAGCCCCAAATCCCAAGTATGCTATTCTCTCTAATCATGTGCTACTCACTAGAAATTCTCTCATAAGCTCCTTGCTGTTATCTCAACACTCTCAAGCATCCCTAGTAGCAAAACCCCTAGACTAAGGAACAATATATCATGCCACTCTAGTCCTAATAAGAATACCTAGTCTTATTCTAGCATGCATAATATAACTCATCATATAGCATAGCATAACGTTCCTTTTAAAACTTATTGTAAGGGTATTTTGGGAAATCACCGTTCGGGCGCTGGCTGATCGTACACATGACTCTGATACCAAATTGTAACACTGTAAAATTTAAAATAAAATTTTCACATTTTTAAACACACTTCTCCAAACACATTTATTGATAAAACCCCATTGTATCATAACTTTGTTTCACAAATATTTCCCAAGATCGAAATACATAAAAACCCATGTGTGTGTACGAATCATGCCGACGCCTTCCCGCGATCATCACTGGTACCTGAAACACATAACATATAACACTGTAAGCATAAAGCTTAGTGAGTTTCCCAAAATACCATACATACACATACTAGCCACTCGAGGCCATAACTCTGTGGACCCGTGGGCCCTAACTCTGTGGACCTTCTGGTCCTAACTCTATGAACCTTCCGGTTCTAACTCTGATATAGTCTGATATACTCATGACATCAATCACATAGAAATAATGCAGTAACACATCACATAATAGCATAAAATAACTCTGTCACATAACTCTAATTACCACTCAAGGTAAAGTATAGTGAGAAGACTCACCTCAGATGTCTCGGTAAATCACTGACTCGGTAGAAATACGATCTAGCCTCCGCCTAAACACATAAAGTAATACTCTCGTAAATATAACTCTCAGAACTAGACTCAACCCTCTCTAAGCACCCTCAGAAGGGTAAAAGATCATTTTACCTCTTTTTTGGCTCAGAGGCCCTCATTGTTGACCAAACCCTAAAAGTCAACCAAAGTCAACGGTCAAACTTTGACCCGACACGTCGAGTGCACTTGGGCAACTCGGCGAGTCCACATGTGTCCACTAACTCTTTAGTCTCGTTTGACGTGTTGAGTCCCTCCCTTTACTCAGCGAGTCCCCAGGTATGAATTGCGGGGCCACCCCGACTCAACTCGCCGAGTCTCAAGAACAACTCGGTGAGTACATGCCATGAACAAACTCCATTGACCTCCTGAGGTTAGATATGTTCCTCTAATCCATAGATCTTGCCTTCCCAAGCATAATAATCACGTAAAGTCCAGACCTTGACACTCATATATCATCTAGATGGTCTCATTTGGTGATTTAGCCCCAAAAATGACCTTCTAAGCTCATGGCTCCCAAGATAACTCATAAAGCTCCAAGGGTTAAGGTCTCTGGACCTCTTTGAGTCCAGATCCAAAGCATAAACTCGAGAAGGGACCAATTGCTCCACATAACCATCCTCAAAAGAGGTTAGAAAACCCTAACTCTAAGAATCAACACCCAAAACTGAAGAAGGTCTGAATAAACACCTCAAGTTGAAGTCTCTGGACTCTGAAACCACTAGAATCACACCTCCTTCAGTCTCCTCTTGCTCTTGATCACCTTCTTCTTGCTAAACCAAAGATAGACAGATCAAATATAGCTTCTCTTTCCTCCCAAACGATTTAGCTCACTTAGGGTTCTCTCAAGGGACTGGTAGCCACAATGGGGGGCTATGAGTGCCCTTAAATAGGCTCCAACCCTGGGGAATTAGGGTTTCATTAAACAACATGGACTCGCCGAGTCCACTAATGGACTCACCGAGTCCAGTCGCGAACCCGGATGATAATCTGCGACCCTACTCGGCGAGTCTAAGCATCAACTCACCGAGTTCCTTCACAAATTACAAAAATAAAAATATTAGAATAATATACCTGGGAATCTGGATGTTACATAGTTTTCCTTTCCTGAAACATATACATCATATATGAATATTTTTTTTATTTTTTATTCATTTATATAGTGTATTATTCACTTATGAATAAGCAATGTTATTAGAAAAATCAATATAAATATTATAATATATTTTAAATCATTCATTTACATGTATCATCTCCCTTTGTTTCTTCAACTTTTGTTCCTTGTTCATGTACACCTTCTGATTTTTCCTTTTCTGCTAGAGTATTAGTTTTACCTGTACTCATTGGTGACCCTGGTCAAAATTTAACAAACAAAATTGTTATTGTGTATTAATATTTTTATATTTTTTTTTTAAAATAAAAGTAAGACAAAATTTACCTATATCAATATTATCTAAAATAGTTTTCATTTCAGGGTGATTCTAGATTTCATCTTCTTGACTATTTAAACTTGAAATTCCAATTCCAAGGACATTGTCCACAATGTTGTCAACAACTTTATCCAACAAATTTTCATTTTCAGTTTGTTGAGCTGTCTCTTCATGATTATTTGTTTCCTCAGCATGATCATCTTTTTCCTCTTCATCATTCTCATTTTCATTCCTCTTTCCATCTTTCTCTTTTACTCCAATTTCACAATCTTTTTTATTCTTGTATGCATCGTTCTTTATTCCTTCATTATCTGCTTCATTTGAATCAAGCAAATAATCTACTTCTGGTTGACTTGCATCATTATCACTGTCTTCTTCACCATTTCCCTCTTTATCTCCATTTTCTTTTTGATCATTTGTTTTTGACCCATTATTGGTGTCAAATTGATTCCTTCAACTCCAGATTCATTACTTGGAAAATTAAAAAGTGTCGTGCTTTCGGTTTTTTCTTCAACAATCATATTTGTCATCTTTTCTTTGAAAATTCTAAAACTTTCCTTTTCAGGGAACTTTATCATCGCATCATTAAGCTTTAAATTCAACTTTTCCTTCATCCTCTCAAAACTATTAAGCATTTTTGATATTTTTGATTCATATGCCTATGTAACAAAAAGAAGTATATGATTAGAATTTAATATAATAATTTAATGTAATCATATATTATTAACATGTTATAACTAATTACCTCAACATAATGATCTTCATCTTTATCAGAATCATTGTCTTCGAGATCTGTATCTCCTTCATCTTGTTCATTAACAAATTCTTCGTTTAATTCTCCAACTCCAAATCTACTTTTTTCTTGTTCAAATGTCTCTCGATATCTAATCTTCTCTGAACTCTAATAACAAATTGTTGGACGTTTACGTGTTACTTTTAAAGCTTCTGAGTGGATGTTATCAGCATAGAACAACTGCACATAAATGATAACTAATTGATATTCATATATGAACAAGTAATATTATTTTTTACTTATTCATATATGAATAAGTAATGTAAAGCATTACGTGTGAACAAATATATTTTTCTTATTCATATATGAATATCTGCTATTAGTTTATGAATAATCAATATTATTAAAAATTGAGTATAAACATTACAATAACTTACCACCAAGAAAGCTGAAGGTCCAACAAAGAAGTTGTTATCTGAGTATGGTATGTATGAATTTTTTGTTCTGACAAGATAGTCCAAAACATAGTTGCACCAGTCTATGTTGCTGATATCTGTTTTTCATGAAATATAACTCAAGGGAAATAGGTTGCATCTTCCCATTGATGTTGACTCGCAAAAAGTGTTGACAAAAAGAACTAAGAAGTTCAATTTGAGATTGAAATCAGCTTGTGTGGTAGAAACAATAACAGTTTTGATTGCACTCAGACGGATGATTGAATCTTTTTTAAATTGTTTCTTCCATTCATCATAACTTGTATCATACTTAGGCCAGTGATCCAGTTGTGTAAGTTTGGTTCCACCAATTGGTATGCCCAACATGTCATGAACAGACTCTGCTGTTACTTTCAATTCCTTTCCTTCAATATCTATCACCATTCTCTCAGAATCAAATTTTTGAAGAACATAAAATCCTAGCTTCAGTGGTATATCCGTGATTTTCATTTTTAAGAAAGCTCCAAAACCCATAGATCTTACAGATTCTTTTTGTTCTTTGCTCATCCCAAGGATTATAGATAGTAAAGCCTCTGGTGAACATCTGTTTTTCATTGAGTAAAATTCTTTTACCATTGGTTTTTTTTGTCTTTTTTGATTGGTGACTCCTTTTTTTTTTTTTGCCTTCTTCAATGGATGACTACTTTCAAAATCAGAGTCTGAATCTTGTAGTTGTTGTTTTTCAGGAGTTTTCCTTTTTGATGGACTTTTTCTGCTTTGATGCTTTATTTTCTTTGGTACTTTTGTTTCTTTTTTATCTGGGAAATGAAAACATATAATATTTGAATAAGTTACTGATATATGAATATGATATATGCTCGTTGATTTATTAATATTTATTTATTACAAAAATATAACTAATATATACAAGTTTATTATATATGAATATATTAGATATGATAGTAATTTTGTACCTTTCGCATTTTTCCTCTTCTGCATTGATCTTGTTTCTCTCATTGTTGGTGAATCTTTATTGGAAATGTTAGCGTTCTTACCTTCATTCAATAGTAAGTAGAAGATAAATGAGTTTGATATTCACGACTGAATATTTGAATAAAACATATGTATTCATATTTTTTATTCACATATGAATATGTTTTGTTATGTTCATATGTGAATAGAACATATGTAAGTCATTCTTGTTGTATTCACATTTGAATAATGTATGTATGGCAGCAAGCTATGTTCTATTCATATGTGAATATAACATACATATTCACGACTGAATATTTGAATAAAACATATGTATTCATATTTTTTTTATTCACATATGAATATCTTTTGTTATATTCATATGTGAATAGAACGTATGTAAGTGATTCTTGTTGTATTCACATATGAATAATGTATGTATGACAGCAAGTTATGTTATATTCATATGTGAATATAACAAACATATTCACGACTGAATATTTGAATAAAACATATGTATTCATATTTTTTTTATTCACATATGAATATGTTTTGTTATATTCATATGTGAATAGAACATATGTAAGTGATTCTTGTTGTATTCACATTTGAATAATGTATGTATGACAGCAAGCTATGTTCTACTCATATGTGAATATAACATGCATATTCACGACTGAATATTTGAATAAAACAATGTATTCATATTTTTTTATTCACATATGAATATGTTTTGTTATATTCATATGTGAATAGAACATATATAAGTGATTCTTATTGTATTCACATTTGAATAATATATGTATGGCAACAAGCTATGTTCTATTCATATGTGAATATAACATACATATTCACGACTGAATATTTGAATAAAACATATGTATTAATATTTTTTTATTCACATATGAATATGTTTTGATATATTCATATGTGAATAGAACATATATAAGTCATTCTTGTTGTATTTTACATATGAATAATGTATGTATGGCAGCAAGTTATGTTCTATGCATATGTGAATATAACATACATATTCACGACTGAATATTTGAATAAAACATATGTACTCATATTTTTTTATTCACATATAAATATGTTTTGTTATATTTATATGTGAATAGAACATATGTAAGTAATTCTTGTTGTATTCACATATGAATAATGTATGTATGGCAGCAAATTATGTTCTATTCATATGTGAATATAACATACATATTCATGAATGAATATTTGAATAAAACATATGTATTCATATTTTTTTATTCACATATGAATATGTTTTGTTATATTCATATGTGGATATAACATATGTAAGTAATTCTTGTTGTATTCACATATGAATAATGTATGTATGGCAGCAAGCTATACATATTCACGAATGAATATTAGTTTTGCTTGTGTTCAGAAGTAAACAAAATATATTTTATTTACCTTTTTGATTTGTTCTTGGTTTCGTTTATATGTATTCTTCACTGTTGGTGTCGTTTCTGTAAGGGTAAGTAGTTAATATTAGGAAAACATAAGCAAAATGTTAAGTAACGTTTGTATTTTGACAGAATAGTTTTGAATAAAGATGAAAAATGAAGAGATGATGTAAAATCATTTATATATCAAATAATAATGGATGATTCTTACAAAAATTTCAAGTAAATAAAGTAATAACGAAGGAGGGTTACGAGAATGAACAAATATCATAAAGAAATTGAAGTAAACAACCTTTTTTGAAGAATGAACAGTGTGAAAACAATGTTTTTAGTTCTAAATCAACTAATAATTATCGAAGATTACGAGAAATTTCAAGTAATCAAGTGATAATTTTAGAAATCATTCGAAATCGTTAAAAACTCGAGAAAAAACGTCGTCGGTTACCTTTTATTGTCAAGAGTGAGGAAATGGTGTCGTTAATGTTTTCATCGGAAGACATTTTTCTTCATTTATGTTATTTGATGCTTCTGCAAATGGTTTTCTTCTTAGCGATTCTTCTGCAAATGGTTTTCGTGTTGTCGTGTATCGAAGAGGGAAATTGTGCTTTTCTGTCGAGATTTGACGTGTTATCAAATTACTCAAGTGCCCTGACAGTTAAATGTTTTTGGATTATTTACAAATTTGCCACCGTTCATTAATGTATTTGGATTATTTATAAATTTGTCACCGTGCGTTTTTTAAGTTCATTAAATGATTGGCTGAGAATGGTTCCCCCATTCTCAACCTTTTTTTTCTTAATTAAACCCTCCTCCCTCTCTCTCTCTCTCTCTCTCTCTCTCTCTATATATATATATATATATATATATATATATATATATATATATATATATATATATATATATATATATATATATATAGGGTTAGGTTAATGTGAGACGGCCTAATTTTGTGAGACCGTGAGACACATTTTTTTATTTTTATTATTTTTTTTTATTTTTTTTAGTTAATTCAAATTCCGAAAATAATATTTCACAAAAAATATTTGGATTTTTCCATCTATTTTGCATTTTAAAATTATTTTTTAGAATATGTACAGTGTAATATTCTATTAGAATACTACACATATTTTAAAAAAAACAGGATTTTTTTAAAGTTTTTTAGTTAATTCAAGTTTCGAAAATAATATTTAAAATTTTTTTTTACATTTTTCCATTTATTTTGCATTTTAAAAAAAAAAAACGGATTTTTTTTATTTTTTATTTTTTATAGTTAATTCAAGTTCCGAAAATAATATTTAAAAAAAAAAAGAATTTTTGGATTTTTCCATTTATTTTGCGTTTTAAAATTATTTTTAGATTTGGTTTCACAGTCTCACAAAATTAGAATGGTCTCAAATGAACCTGAACATATATATATATATATATATATATATATATATATATATATATATATATATATATATATATATATATATATATATATATATATGGAAAATTTGTTATGTTTATGTAGTTAATAAATAAAAGAATTTGAAATAGATTTTCTAAATGAACTCAAATTAATGAGTTTTGCTCATTAACGTCTATTCCATCGGTTGTGTAATACCTTGATCCAAGTCTTTTCCATTTCTACCTTTAAGTATGAAATTTGTTGCAACTTATTCCCATTGTCATTAAATGAGAAACGCGTGATTTATTGAGAGCGATGGGCGTACTCAAACGTACATAAGGTGTACGTGAATGGGGTCAAACCCTAATTTTTAGGGTTTGAGCCATATTTAAGCATCATTAACTTCTTAAGACCTTCTCCCCCATTAGCATCCATCTTTCAAATCGTGCCTTGCAAACCCTAATCCATTGTGTGAGCATCTTTGAGCTTGAGAGTGCATTCTTGGTGTTCTTGAAGGAAGAAGAAGGAAGTGGAATTATCTTGGAGGCTTAATGACATCTTGGATTCAAAAGTGTTACACCCTTAAGTATCATTTGGAGGTATAAAGTCTAAAACTTGATGAGTTATTTGCTTAGATCCTCTTAACCTTGAGTTTGTGTTCATTTTTGGTCCCATAAGCTTGGTGTTCATTAGTATGAGTTACTCTAACCAGAAGAGTTGTCCTTTTAAAAGTTTTTAGGTGTTAAGAACCATAAAAATATGATCTTGGTCCTTCTATTCCTTGCATGCAAGAGTTATGATGTCTTAATTGATTATTAAGTTAAGGTTTTAGCTTTTGGACCTTGCCTAGCCATGGAAAGTCATAAATATGAAAACTTTATGACTTAGAACGATGTTTTGGTTTAGATTTGAGTTTGGATGAAAGGTCTTTAAGGAATAAGCACTTAATGAGAAGAATTGGACTCAGACTAAGTACGTTGGGCGTACAAAGAGGTACGGTACATGTAATGGGTTTGAAACCCTAGGTTGGATAAGTCATAACTATGCCCATCATTGTGATTGAGTACGCAGTGCGTACTCAGTTAGCTTGACTTTCCTTGACTTTTTGACCTTCTGGCTTTGATCTTTGACTTGAGGTTTGACCTAGGGGCATTTTGGGTAATTTGAGCTATAGTTTGAGTTTAGTTCCCTGTTTGTTCTATAGGTGACCTGTAGAGTTCACATTTAGAGCATCGTTATTTTCTACAATCATTTTAGACTGTCAGGTGAGTTTTCATATTGTACTTGTCGATCGAATGCGTACCGCCTGCATATTCGAGCTAGTCAATTTATAGACAATAAGCGTCAACAATGACTTTTTAATAGAAGATTATTTAGAATAAATAATCATAACTAAGTTATAGTATATGTCACAAGGATTTTGTACATATAAAGAACGCTTAAATTTGACTTATAACGAATGAAACTGCCTCAAAAGGACAAAAAACGCAAGGAAACTACATCAAAAGTATCACAAATCCAAAAAAAGTCGTGGTTTATACTAAAACCCCAAAAAGTTGAATACCACAGGTATCATTTTTACAACTTTGTCTAAATAATAAATATTCACAAAATAAGTTTTTTTTAAAAAATAAAACAATGTCATTTTCTAAATAGCAATGGACCATCAACAAATCATGACCAAATACTAAAACAACCTCTTTTTCATTGCAAAACTACATCTAGTTGAAAGTTGAAAAATGATATTTGATTATTTTCCATTGCTCAAAGATCGATTGATATTGTAGTTGCTTTACCACCACTCCCTCGAAAATGCATGTAGACTTGTC